TTTTTTGATATATAAGTAGATGTAAATGATATATTGAGTTATGTATAGAGTAATGCATATGCATAAGAACATGAGCACGGTTTATACATCTAGAGTAATGATCACAGTTTCTTCTTCAAACAGAATGGGTATAATGAAATTTGCATAAAACATACAAAGATTTTTCAAGATATTGTAATTATATCCGTTTCAAATTAGAAAATAGAATCACAGTATAAGAGTTTTTATTTTTTAAATAATGGCGTATTATGTTTCATTCTTATGAAGACTGTAGTTATTTTCCAATAATAAGTGATACYTGAAATAGTAGTACTTAGTAGGTATAGGTACTACAATAACTTATGAGACGCTCAAAAAAATTAACATATATTACACGTCATATCATTAATATATTACTATCGATTTCCGGTTTTTACGAGTGAATAATATATTATAGGTAGGTATAGTTACACGTGGTTTTAGGCTGACCTAAAACGAACACAATTCAGTATTTCAGTCGAATCGTGTGTCGCGGTAATTTTCAGATGTTTCAGTCGTACCTACATCATTCGCACCAGTCGTATCCGAAACGCTGTAAATGCAACATAGGTTTATATCTATAATAATAGTATACTAATTGCTATTATAACAGTGTGCAAGTCTTATAGTTTTCCCCTATAATACAAACAATACAATAAACCACATTATAGGACATTGTATGGCGTATGGCAGCACATAGACATGATATAATAATATCATAACACCGCGGTTAGGCTCTCGTTTGTTCGTAGTTTAGTCTTATATTACACGAAAAACCGACCGTTTGAAATTCGCGTTGGATCGTTTTCGATACGATGACCCTCGTCTGCGCGATGGTGGAATCGTTACTCCGGGTACTCGTCCGCGGCAAGTGCGACGATGCAGTATTATAATATACGTAAGACACTAAGACAGTATTCTTTATACATATATATAAAAATAAATGAATACCTAATTAATGAGTTTCTCTGGGGTATAGACGAAACCAGGTTTGACGACCTTCATTATAATGCTCGCGCGTTCACAGCAAGACACTTCGTCGGATCATAAATTCCTATGTATATATGAGTATTTACCGCATTTATATACCTATAGATATSTATATATCCTAACATTATTTGGCGTGCATAAAGTCGATATGATACGGTTGTGTACACCTACTGCGGGAATAGTGTACACTGMATACTGCAGAACTGTTCTGAGGCACGCGCATTGGCGACTTCATCGCTGACGAGATTCTCAGCGCACAGGACAGTATAATGTAATACGACGACTGCAGCCGTTTTTGCGCAACTCAGTGTAACGACATTTAAGCGTTTACGGTATACGATTAGTTGGGTAAAGGTTAACCGCTGCAGCTCTCCGTGCATTATCATCACGTAAATATAATATGTTAAATTATGTTGCCCAATAGGCAGGTACGCGATTTTTGGCTCGTGATAGGTAATATACGCTATATACATACATTATAGTTGTGATAATACCGTTTAGAGAGGTGTACCTATGACATGTACATTAAGCAACTTGCGATTCGTGGTTTTATAATATTTTTGCACTCGTAATTCGCTCGTCGTCAGCTAATTGGCCAATTCTCACGCCATAATATTATATACTGTACTATTATTATTAGGTATATACAAATCATTTTATTTCGCATCTGCTACAGTATTATTAGTATTAATATCATGCGTCTTGCGACAACGGCATGTTTGTCATCGTCTTCATCGCCATTCCATCGGATAATGATAATAATWATTATTATGATTTTGTCGCGAACTGYATTTTCGGTAAGGTTCCGCGCTTAGTTAGTTTCGTTTAGCAACTCTATATATAAGTATATAATTATAAATGTCTATCTGGGCGTAATTTACGTACTTATATATATTGTAGTGCGTCACGCGCCAAAAACGATTACGATTACGCAGCTACTCCATAACATCATATTGCAACCGTATTAGAGCGTTAATACACGTATACATATCATATTATGATACAGTTTTAAGTTATACAAGAATAAGACACCGCGGCCATATGCCTATTCTGCTTGCCGAAACTCGATTTCGCAGAGATTTTTACTACAACAAAACAATGTTTATATAAGCACAATACACGTGTACCTATCTAATATATCGACTAATTATCCCTCTCTGTCGTCCTAAAGATCGAACGAAAAGAACATCAACACGTGATGATGATCGAAAACGATGTACATTTGATTTTTTACCCGCGGGTTAAGAATTTTTTAAGTGCCAGACGGAAAAAACGCCCATCTCAACCCAAAACAACTGTCATATTTTTAGGTTAGAGAGCACATCATCGGTTAGTATTAGTATATATAGGCACAAAGATTCCGCAAGAGTGATGGTTTTTCAACAAAAGATTTATCGTTGTAACTACCAACCAGGTTTGCGAAGGTAAAATCTCATTGGTATACTACCTATACAGGCTRTAGGTGAGTTACGGCCCGAGTAATTATCATTACCTATGTACCTAATCTATATAATATTGWTTAATMATTTCTGTCGATTTATGATTGAATAATTTATAAAGCATWATATTTTATCACAATAACTTACTATACCACATAAATATTTTTAAAATGAAAATAATTAATGATCTTGCAAATTTCAAATACCTATTAAAAACTAAATGATGTAATAGGTAGTACATACCTGTTAACAAAATCAAAGTTGCTATTTTTTGTATTAAACATAATATATATATAGAAATATAAAATACACCAGATGGTTAGAGCCAACTTCTCTTCTAATAGAACAATATCGGAAGTGAAAACATATTTCACGTGTACCTATATAAGTAACAATTATTTACTGCATGCGCCATATTCGATAAACCCTATGAAAAGCGTAATGGCACAGCGTCTCGTTTTTTATTAATTGTTTGTGGTTAACTTGTTTTCATATTATTTTAATTGACGTTTTATACTACAACGAATCGCACATTGTTTTTATTGTTTCTTTTATTCCATATATAACAAATCGCCAACTGTCCTAAACTTTCACGAATATACAATATATACATAAAAGCATGTATGTATACTTGATGGGCCTGGACAATAATAMAATTAAAAACGTATTGCAGACATACATTTATTTACCTACCTATAATGGTACATAATTCAATAATCGGTAATATATTATGCATATATATGATTATCGACTATGTATTTTAAAC